GGGGGGGGGGCAGAATTTGCTCCCCCCAGCAGGGCGCGTATGGCTGAATAGCCCAGCGGGGCGCGGGTTAAATATGCGTATCGCGATGTTAGCTTGCATCAATAGCACAGACAACAAGTTAGGTTCCATCATTTGCTTCAAAGCATTGTGTTAAGGTCCTTCTACGACGGTGGTAACTGGTAACATTTAAATGAAGAGTAGAGAAAGGCTTACGTAACTCACGCCAAGCCAGTGCTCAGCTCCAACCGCACCGCCGGCTTTTAGGGTGGGAATGGGTTTGCTGGGCATGTTTTTGATCCAAATGCAGCGACATGCACTATAAAGCGTCGTTTGAAAGATCGCAAAAAGACATGAAGAGGTTAAGCTTCGATCAATTTTTAGACATTGTCAAAGCTCAAGTCACCAAGAGTCAGCACTCATTCATAGGTCAAATTTGGCCTATTTCTTCAACACGTTTTGACAAATCTACGCATAATTCAGGAACAAATAGAGGTCCAGCACCGCGAGAAAGCTCAATCAATAGGTCTTTTGAACAATCATCTTCTTATATTTGGCCTAAGGTCAACTTAGTCTCTAGAGGGGCAAAAGTGCTTAAAACTAACATTTTTGTGGAAATTCTTTTGCTGCAATAACATTTGATGCGAAGTTTGCAATGGTCACTTTCAGATGGAATGAAATTTCTCCTTGTATATTTTTACCATTCAAAAACAAGTCTACTATCTCGATTCCATTTCGAATGTTAGCCCACTCCGTGCTGGAGTGGCGTTTTTACGCTCTCCTCAGGTTTCCGCGGATATCTAAAAAAAAAGAAATAGAAACGGCGGCGTGCAGCGCCACCGTTTTTACTACACCTTATCACACATCTTTTCTGCACATGTGAAAATCTCAGGCCCGGGCCGTTCAAGGTCAGGTCACCAGGTAACGTCAAGTGACCTTATCTCAGAAATAGTTCCAATGCTCGCCATAGCTACACCGACTGAACGATCAATTTAAAAATTTCAGTGAATTATAAGAGTAAACATCCTCAAGCATCGTTTTATAGATAAAAATGACACACTGGATCGGAAAATTGCACCCGTGACCCCTTCTTATACCCCTGAGGATGGGTCACTGGCTCCTCTTAAAACAGATTTTCGGCTTCTTTATAATCAATGAACATATGGTGTCGCGATTTTGGCAAACAATCAGTCGAAAGCCAAATACTGCGATTGAACTGGAACTGGCATTGGTCATATACCTACTGTGGACGTCAAACCGCGTGGGACGCGACTTTTTCGCAATAACTTTTGAATGCGTTGCCTTTCAAGAACGAAACTTCGGCAATGGACGTTTCAGACCCCGGCCTAATTTTTATTACTAAGGTTTTTCAATGTCCGATCAATATTTAGGGCACTTCCCGTTCACTCGTAATGTTAAATTTTGCTCCTGAAACTCTCTAGGTGAGCAGAGGCTACTCCACAAGGGGCGGAGCCATAGTGTGACGTTGGAGCTAAGCTCCGCCTCGGCTGGCCCTTGCCTGAGGCGCTACCTGACCCGAGACCGGTCAGTCGCGGTCCGTAGGGGTTGGTACGCGGTGCTTCCTGCCAACACACCCAGCCGCATGGCGTACGTTATTCATGCTTGCACTAAGGGCTGCAAGAATGTATTTGCAATGACGAGTGTTGACTGTTCGCACTTCTATCAATGAAATATTTTCTTCGACTCGCTAAGAATGTCACCCAGATAGGAAGACTATACGCGTACGCCAAATATTACGATGATTTAAGAATAACAGAAAATACGTAAATGATTATTTAATAAGTTTGTCAACGTAATTACGTAAATGAGATACATAATAATATAATATATTTACACAGTCAAGTTAATTTTTTAATAAACATTTTAATTTCAGGTTCTTGTAGATATCAAACCGCCAGGAACGTTAGTACACTTCGTGTTATCCTGCCAAGCCCCAATATGCCCCAACTTAAATGTTTCCGTAATGCACCGGTACGCATAGCCGGAGGGGAGCCGGATCCGCCGGAGCCGTCATATTTTGCCCTGAGTGGGAGCCGGAGCCGGAGCCGTATTGCCATTTTACTCGGAGCCGGAGCCGGAGCTGGAGCTGACTCAAATGTTCAAGGCTCTGCATCCCTGCTGCTAAGTCAATAATTCGTATAGTTAATTTGGTAAAGGGCCATACTGAACAATCTCGTTTTTTTTTCTTGGATTAAAAAACCTGGTAAAAGGCCATACTGAACAGTCTCGGTTTCGAGATGTCCGCCCATCTGAGACCCGACGCACACAGCATGCAGAACCGGTTCTGAGTGAGGATCGACCGACAGATGGCAGTCGTGTCTGAACGGTAGATGGCAGGGAATTCGTAGTTAGTAGGCGGGGCTTTGCGAGCAGCCTGACGATAGCCGCCATCCGGGCTGATATTTTACTTAGCATTACGAGTGAACGGGAAGTACCCTAAATATTTATTTGACATTAAAAAACCTTAATAATAAAAATTAGGCCGGGGTCTGAAATGTCCATTGCCGAAGTTTCGTTCTTGAGAGGCAACGTATTCAAAAGTTATTGCGAAAAAGTCGCGTCCCACGCGGTTTGACGTCCACAGTAGATGAATAGCTTATGGATTATCATGGATCATGGATAGCTTTAAGCCCTAAGTTGTTACATTGTCGAATTTTGGTACACAAATGTGTACGAATACCTATGCAAGTCATCTTATATGTCGCGGATCGATTCGGGATCTTTCTTCCACGGTCTTGGCATTTCGCAGACCAGTCGGTGTCTACCGCGCAAAGTTTACGGTTCGGCACGACCGCCACGAATGTTTCATGAAAAAATGAAAATTTCGTGGCCGCTCGCCGAAGTTATGATTGACGAATATGATCGCCAAACAGTCGCCGAATCACCGGTGACATATCGCTGCGGCCTGCGTGCGTCAACTTGCTGCCGAAGTATCACCGACTATTCGCCACGATTCGCCATTAATTCGCGATGCTCGACGAATCATGGACCAAATTCGACCTGCGCACGATTAGGGGTGCCCCCCCCGTTTTCTGCAATATGGACTCTGTCGGCGAAGTGTTCGCCGATTTCCTACACAGCGTGATTCGGCGACAGGATCTTGGCCAATATTCGGCAGTGTAACTTTACTTTACTGCCTTTGCTGAAAGCCTGAAACACCTATAATCTACAGTACTCTTCAGCATCAGCTATGATAATTATCATAGCTGATGCTAAATGTTTTCTTTATAATTGGAAGATGAAGATTATAAATGAAGATTATGAAGATTATGATGAAGATTATAAAGATTATAATCTTCACATATGTGAAGTCAGTAAGTCCCTTCCTATTCATGTTTCAGTTGGACGCCATACCTTCTGATCATGCCTGTTCTGTCCCGCCCACCGTTGCTTGTCGTCCGTTGCCCACTGAATACCGGGCCGCTGTTGGTGAGCGCCAGCTTTGTTCCCCTCTGTCTGTGCCCCCCCCCTAATTAAACCTCATCTCAATTAAGCCATTATTCCCCCTGTGAAAGCGTCCACGTGTTGGCTTGACCAACGAAACGCAGTCAATTTCGGGCCCTCCCCAGTCCCCACTGACCGTCGGCCACCGGCCAGAGACGCCACTACACAGAAGGCAGACGCAAAGCGCCCGAGCCCAGCGCAGCGCACCGACATTTAAAGGTAGTGTGCCACCTTTGAAAGATTTCCCATTTTATTTTTCCTAGGATAAGAAGCTTCTGTTTTTGCCTAATATCGCAAAAAAAATCAAAAATGGGCCTGGAATAGTGCCTTTTTCGCCTAAAAGTTTTTTGGTTTTTAGATATGTATAACAACTGTAGTGGGCTCACCTGCAAACAGGCGTCGGGCAACAATCGCGAATGCGGCGCACTTGTGACAATAAGCAAAGGTCATTATTGTGTTACGACCATACGACGTACGGGAATGAGTTATCAGCTGTCTAATCGTAGACAACACAATGTCGAGCCTTAAACTGTAAGCCCGTATTGGTATTGTTTCTTTTATTTGGCTGTCGAACATTATTTATGGTTTGAAATATGATTTTATGTAAAATAATTGATATGAAAAAGCCGTCTTATAAGTTATGACCCCATTTCACCACACGCAAGTGGCAGAAATGACAATGATCAGCTGACGCATTTTTCTTGGCCGAAGTCAGAGCGCGCGGCCCGACGCACCACGCGTATTTGGAAATTCCGACCTCGACGAGCATCAGAAGCCACCTAACAGGCGTGTTCGAAACCGCAGGAGATGATGATGAACGGGTTTATCGAAACTTGATTGGATGAGCATATCGGTAATAGCGATTTCAGTATGTGCATTTATTGTTCATAGTGGTGTGAAATGTGGTTGGGGTACGACCGACAACCCGTCGGGGCGAATTTCGCACTGGGGTACTCAAAATTTGAAGAATTTAAGACGTTTCCATGAGTTTTGAAGGTATGGATAAGTTCTAAAAATCCGGTTCTCCTTATCTGGGCCATTAACTCCATACGGTCCAAGAAAGCTGGCACACTACCTTTAAACTTATCTTTCTCCGGAGGACTTTAAAGAAGTGACAGATTGCAGGCGCGCCGATTCAAACCTAGGGAACAGATTGTCCATGGGGAGGATTTAAACGGGGCCGGACGCTGGGCCCAGGACGGCCAGGTCATTAGCGATTTAAACGGCACGCGCGCGGCGCGCGTGCCCCGCCGCTGCAGCGGCCGCCGCGCTGGCCACATGGCGCGGAGCGTGCCAGCCGGCCGCCGCCGGCCGCTCCCCCCACCCCCGCCCGCTCCCCAGCCGCAGCACGTGCGCAATGTGATTGGGCAAGACGGTCACGGCCTCGGCCGAGCGCCGACCAATCAGCGCGCGAGCTATCACGGCAATCCGGGCGAATCCGGCCGCCGATTGGCTGAAATCATTGATTGCCGCTCGAGCCCTGGCCGGCTCGCGATTTGGTGTAGGTCGATTCTGAAGCGGCGGCAAAGTCGAATCTTGGCCAAAGCTGGCTAGAGGTGCAAGGTGGGCCGGCCCAGATTGAGCGGACTTACAGCGGACTGTTGTATCTCTGGGAGGCGACTGCCGAGGGCGCCCGCTCGGTGGTCACACCAGACAGGGGACATGGCAAGTCCGCCCAGCCGGCGACCTCTCGACCCGCTGCAGGCCTCCGAGGCCGGGAGGCGGAGCAGCGCCTTCACGGCCGTGGCGCCACACATCACCAGCCCGATCAAAGGTAAGCCGCCCCCGCCCCCCTTCCGGTCCAGACAGATAACCGAGACGTGAATAAACTTGAATCCGGCTTGGAATCTCGCCGCACGCGCATGTACGGCTCTCTCGAGATTAAGCGGTAGGTTTTGCACTTTTGCATTTCCGGTTATGGCTCAGAAACTAATCGATCTACGATGAAGCCATTTTACACGATCATGGCCGGCTTGTTACCAAACACGTCGACCGCATCTTCAACACTTAAAAGCTTAAGATGACGAAGATATAGCCTGAAGTACACTAAATTTTCTAGGTGCAAAACCTACCGCTAAAATCCGCGAGACCTATACGACATGGGTGCGTTTACAATGCGAAAAACGCTGAGCGTTCTGTGTCTGGCAGTGGCGACTAGCGGTTATGAGAGGGTGAGTCTGTTTTGGTGCGCGGGAGAAGATGGAGCGAGCCTGGTAGGTACACTGAATGTGAGTACATGCCCATTTGGTGATCGAGTTTCCGTTGATTACTTTCATCTGTATTTGCGGAGCTTAGTAGTGCACTACTTAAAACCAACTACCCTGAAATTGAGGAGGAAATAGTTGTCAAAGTCAAGACGCATTATGTGTATGTATCTGCTACTCGAATTGCCGCTTTTATAGGGGAGTTCTTTTCCCGACTGCATGCATGCAGGCATTAGGGTGTGCCTGCATTTTGTGCCGCATAACATTTCAGGCATAGTTAGACGACTTTGGGTACGTAAGTACTATGATCTTTTCTCAACAAGATGCAAAAGTTATTGCTTATTTCTACAAATGGTGGGTACCTACCTGCAAGTGCGCATCTACATGTGTATTTATTGTTACCTTCAAGAAGCCGCGAATACTTTCTATGCATTACAAGTCTGAAGTACAAGTTCTATGCATTACAAGTCTGTAATTAGTTGAATCGATTATTGTGAAGTAAAAGGAATATTCTAGACCATTTTGGTATTCATGATGGGTAGTCTTACCTAATTCTTCAATATGCTCGCTGCTGCTTACAATGTGACTTTAGTTTTATCGTGATATCGATATATATATATATATATATATATATATATATATATATATCAAGAGGAAGTAGGTATCTTAGCCTTCGCTGTCTCTTATTTCATTACCTACCTAAGAACATCTGTCACCTCGTAAAATGAATAAATTATGCCTTGTGCAATCCTAAGGACAAAATCATCGCTAGCTTTGGAATCCAACCGTACTTGAAGCTTACCAGAGCACAACTTTTTTTCACCAAGGCAATCACGGATAATGTGACTATTAGTGGAAAGATCAGCCAGAGCAGCCTGCTAAGCTGGTTGCTGGACAATGTAAAGATGCTTACGAAGCACTTATTTGACGGATGAAACAACAGTTTGGGTTGTCTAGCATTAATTTGTTCTAAAGAAAGGATTAGCTATAAACTTGTTTAGTATATATCCAAAATTGTACCCCATATGACATCCTAAACCCTAATAAGTCTTTAATATCCATCTATAGGCTTCGATAAATAGGTAACAAAATCACTACGACACGTCTTAATCGATTTAAAGAAATTTCACGCCCTTTTTTCTCGGATACCATTCATCTTATGCAAAAATGAACGAATATATCGCTTTAGCTAGCAACTAATCCTATATTTCCAATTTTAAATGATGTCTAAATGACATGATGGAGAAAAAGCTTTTTGTAAAGTCGGCTTAACTTGTGCCATGAAAACGTAGTAAATGTGTCCGTAACATTTTTAAAGCATGCGTTATGAACGATGTAAATAGGTAATGAAACGGGCATATTAAGTATTTCAACAAGGTTGTGTGAACGCCTGTGCCAAAAGGATAAACCATAAGCGTTTACTTTTAACATCGTGACATTTGTTAACGTTTGTTATCATGATTCGATGCTAGGGATGTAGATATGCAATTTGCGAATTAGGTATTTATGATCTGAAGTGGACGTTACTGTAGGTATTAGGGGAGCCCGACGGCTGGCATGTTCAGGGGCGGCGCCACGGGTTTTCGATAGGGGGGGACGGGGACCGAAAATCGAAAATCCCAAAAGTAGATACTGATTGTGTATGCAAAAAAAAAAACGAGGCACGTAACGCCGCGAAACTTGGCAAGGCCCAAAACACATCGAATGGTGCATCCCGTTTCCAAACTTATCCTAGGACAATTAAGATCGATCACCTTTTCAAGCATCCTTGCCTCTAAATCAAAATTTGCAGTCTTGCCAACTCAAAGCTGGTTTCCTACAAGCTGCGAATTGCTTAGGTATGAGTAGCAGTGCCAGCTATTCTTACGTTTCGTACTTTCAAATTTTCGATCTTACGTCTGGTCAGCTTCAGGGCTTCACCATCATATAGTCATGGTGGAGGAAAAGTGGGAATGTCTTCTGCTCTGACAAGTGCGCCAAAACTGCAATATAATTTCAGAATCATGACATCACCACCTGATCCATATGTAACGGGCAGGGTGCAGCTAATGGCTAGCCGTCAGTGGTCATGTCATCGGTGGTCACTCAAAAGGCCATGCTAGGTCATGGAAGGTCACCAGCCGACAGCCGTTATTTGATCACACTTTCTGATGGATTTTACTTGCCAAGAGCTTCGCGGGAAAAACGAGCGCATGCACCGTTGAAAAAATTGAGTGAAAGGGTCTCAGGTCCGGCGACCTCTGCAGGTGAAATGCCCCAGGGTAGGATTCCGGTGCTTGTTGATTAACTTCGTCAAAAATGGCAGTAGAGCTGTGATGTCGGCACCATTGTGTTCGTCATGCTCGAGCTGGCACGACCTGCATCGTTCTCATATTCACCCTCCAATCGTAACTACAGCAGGCGCTGTTACGATAGCTCGGCAAAATCCAGAGACCTTCATTACCTCCCTTTGGGAGGTAATGAAGGTCTCTGGAAACTTCATCCCACATCTCTTTAGCATTAGTGGCTCTCCTTATGGAACAGGTTTCTTGACTGGTCTGTTTCACCCCAGAATTCAAAGACTATAATAGTCAAGGTAAATCCGAGCGCACCACAGTGAGCACAATTTGATAAGCTGGTGTATCTCAATTTTCATGTAGAACCTTTCACGTATCACGAACCTAAAACCCTTTCGTGCACTCATGCAAAAGCAACTGCCATGTTTCAACAGCTGGTAATGGCATTTTCACAGCCGCTGACGTAAGAAGGGGAGGGATGGGGGGCTCGATTAGACCCGCCGACCGAACTTAGTTTTGCAGAAAAAAAAAACGAGTGCTATCGAACCCCTTGACGAGAGGGAATCGATGCTATATCCAATTATAAGGTCTTGGGCTACTGCGTGCTTTTTTGGTCCTGCCTGTGATCTATCCGAACACTTCTCCCCACAAGTGCTGGGGTTAATGGCATAGATTTCAAATGGTTCCTGTGGTAGAACTGCCATGCTTGAATTTGACTAATTAGGAATGGAAAATTTTCATATGGTAACGGAAATCTATGGAATTTCAGTGAACTTGGTTTTATCGGCAATGGGGTCTGGCAATGGGGTGGGGAGGTTATAAGTAATAACCCTGCCTGGCGCCCCAAAAAGGGGGCACGATCCCCGAGGCCCTGCCAATCACCTTATAACTACAGGCATCACAGCTCCACACCTTTTGCAGATGGCCAGGACCCCCTGCGATGCATCCCAACAGCAATCTTTATTCAGAACCTGCCTTGATTAACCAACGATGCATTAAATGCGACGGATAGCTCTATAATGCATTATTATCAACTATTGAACGGCCCTCGCCGATAGGGGGGTACTGTACCCCCCTAACTTTCGATAGCGGGGGACCTGTCCCCCCCGTCCCCCCCGGTGGCGCCGCCCATGGGCATGTTTATCAAAAATAACTATGCCTATGCAAAGTGCCGTCTTTCAATGAAAGCTGAGTTAAATCAATTGGTAGTATAGGTTATGGTTTTGGTTGTCCTCTTTTTCATAATAAGGGACCGTTACCTAATTGATATTTAAGCCGTTTTATTGATTTTTTTTCAGCAAATGCAGCTAATCGTTCCTTATGCCTATATATTTATAGCATGTAACGATGTCATTGCAGCTGACATAAGCGTGATGCGCCATTGGTGGCCAAACGGGACCATTGTTATATTGATAGAGACATGCACTATTTGGGACCATTGGTGGCCATGTCGAGGCCGTTAGATATTGCCAAAACTTAAAAAAAAAATGGTAGGGATGAATTAAAGCGTAAACTGCAGACGTTGAGTTACATTTATATGAATAAGGTAGCAGTGTCTTGTGAACAAATCAAGCTGTAAGATAGTTGTCTGTTTTGCGCAAAAATTTGCCAAGCTGTGATTTTTGGACTTGGCGGTAATCGACGCATTCTGACGCTGTTGTGACGTAATGATTTAAAGTGCATTTCTGAACCGTGGAAGCAAACATGTGCATGGATCCGAGGAAATGATCTGGATTCTGATCCCACGGATCCTGATCTCGGCTCCGACGGGATCATGGATCCAGTTGTTTACTTATCAACAGATCCAATGGATCATACGAACTCATCTATTTTCTTTTCTTCTTTCTTTTTGTACTTTAGATCCACTGAGATGACAGTTCTCACTTGTTCTTTGATAGCACAACAGTCCTAAAGATGCACTTGCTGCAACTCACAAAAGTTCTGTTTTTGTAATTTATGCGATTGCACGTAATAATTCATAGTTAGTTTCGTGACACTTATTGACATAGAAACGCTTGGGAACATTTCAAATGTTCTGCATGGTGGGCGTCACTCGGAGCGTAAATCCGTGTCCTTGATCTGTCGTCAGATCCTATAAGATCATAGATCCATATTTTTTTTCACGCGGGATCCGGTGGGATCATAGATCCTAACATGCAGCTTGCTTCGAGATCCACTGTGGTTATAGATCCATCATTCAAATACATGCACATGTCTGCGAGGAAGGGCAGTGTCCAAACTATGTATATTCCCATTGTAATTAATTTTAGAACCTTTCGCAATCGTTGAGCATA